TTGCTTCTTCAATTAAGCATCCTCCATAGCAGCAGGGACTCTACATCCAGGTAACTCAGGAGGTGACTTGTCAGGGAGGACTGGAGCTCCTGCAAAGGGGCCTGGGATTTCAAGGACTACCTGGGGCAAGAAAGCCTGGGGCTCTACCTAAATGTCAACCTCGATCAGGTGGCTCCATCAGGAACTCTTTTCCATCCCAGCTGTGCCTAAGGGTTTAGGCTCAAGAGTGCTATGAGTACATCTTATTTCAAATTTCAGGAAGTTCAACTTTGTGTTTATGTTAATATTTCTTTAAATTGGCTTGTAGGTGCTTAATAAATAAAATACAGTATTAGTATTAAAAAGGGAGTGGAATTCCCAGTCCTCAGGGAAAAATAAGAAGGAAGTTGGTTGTTTAGTTGTTCACTGCTTTTAACAAAGGTTTAATATATTCCCTAGACTAACTAAACTTAGTTAATCAACATATGGAACTAGGCACACTTTCTCAGAGGACACTACTTTACTTTCATTCAGTCCATGTTTATTGAGCATTTCTCTCATGCCAGGGACTCTGCTAGGTACTAAGGACCTTGTCCAAATGGAACTTGAACTAGCAAGACACAAGAGGCTGGGAGAGCGACCGCAGGAAGTCACAGGGTGGCCCGAACCAGGCGGGAAGCCTTCCTGGAAGAAGTGCCATCCAAGATAAACCCGAAACCTCAACCCGGCGCACAGCTGAGGGCGGCATTTGGTCAGGCCCCAGGGGAGATCCGAAGGCTGGGAGAAGAGGAAAGCTGTGGTGAGCCGCAGGAAATGGAAGAAAGAGCTGCTTAACAGAGGAGGGAGAGAGGTCAAAGGCCAGGAAAAGGGCAAAGTCAGGGTCAAAAAATGGACTTTGGCAAAGAGCAAGCATTCACTGAAGGGTCTGCGCAGAGGCTGACCGGATGCTACAGAGGGGATATCTGTGCCCCCAGCCTGTCCCCATGGTGAAATCCCAGTGCAGTGGTGCGGATCAGGAGGTGGGGCCTTTGGCCGATGAGCAGGCATGCAGGGCTGTAGGGTTTGAGGGAAGAACCCCCCCCCCCCGAATGGGTTTAGTAGCCTTAGAAACCAGGCCCCAGAAAGCTCCCGCCCCTCCCACGCCTCTGAAAGCACAATGAGAAGGTGTCTGTGAGCCAGAACGCCCGCCAGTCCTGCTGGGGCTTTTATCTCGCACATCTCAGCCTCCTGAGAGTGAAAAAATAAATGTGTGCAGTGGAAGCCACCCAGTGCGTGGCAGTTCTAGCAGCTCACGTGGATGGGGCCACGTGTTCAGTGGGAAGTTTAGGAACACCTCCCCACCACACATAAGTGCGGTGCAGGAGGAGGAGTGGGAATAGAGACCTTTGCAAGCAGCATCAGAATCACTGGGAGGGTCAAGCTGAATTTCAGGAAGAGAGCTGCTGCCCCTGGCACGGGCAGGACCGTAAAGAAGCTGTTCAACAGCCAGTAACTTCAAGCACACTGTGCTGCAGATCCAAGTCAGGGAAGGGGTGGGGGAGCCTGAGCGAGGCAGGGGGCAGGGTGCAGATGTGGCCTCAGGTGGGGTGGGAGAGCTACACAGGCTTTGGGTAGAGAGGAGCAGCAAGAGTAAGGGATGACACCCGGGTCCCGAGCCTAAAGCCACAGAGGGTCAGCAGCCCACCAACGAAGTTGCGCAAACCAGGCAGGCTTGGGGTGGGAATGGAAGTCAAGTTGTGCACCTGAGGAGACAGGTGGGATGGGAGGTATTGTGACAGTGCCTTGAAGCCAGGGGAGAAGATGAGGTCATCCAGGGAGAAAGGGCTCCAGCCCAGGAGACAGGGCTCGGGACCCACCAGGAGCCAGGGAGCAGGGAGAAGCAAGAGGCAGAAAAGAGAGAAGAAAACTAGTGAGAACACATCCTTAGGGAAGTGGAGGGAGCCTAGGGCAGCGGTGTTTAAGACTGCAGAGGGATCAATGAAGGTAAGGACTGAGAGGACAGAAAGGAAGCAGTGCTGTGATCTTTCAGTGCAGTCACAGGGTGGGACAGGAATACTGTGTCGGAAATCAGAAGGACAAGTATGCCCACTAGCCCAGACAGAGAGAAAGAGAGGGAGAGGGAGAGATAGAGAGAGAGAGAGAGAGA